GGAGGCTGCGATGGCCGGGAGCGGCCACTGCACTCCAGTCTGGGTGACAGAGTGAGACTCCAACTCAAAAAAAAAAGCAAAAGAAAAGAAAAAAGGAAACGTACATCTATACATACCCTTTGAAGGGCTTCTGCTATTTTTGGAATAAAGACCAAAATCTAGAGTTTTACAGTTCTGCTTTCAGTAATGGCCAACTACTGAATTGACCAACTCTCCTAAAAATAACTAGAAACTCTGCACAAAATGTACAAAACTATGTAAAGACACTGGAGAGCAACAAAAAACAGGGTGAAACAGGAAATTTGGAGAAAGGAATGGCCCTAAGTTTTTTTGTATTTTTTTTAAGGGCTTTTAGCCTGAGAATGTGGCTAAAACTAGGGAAAAAACACAAAGTTTTTTTTTTGGAGTAGGAGTCTCACTGTCACACAGGCTGGAGTGCAGTGGTACTCTCATGGCTACCGCAGCCTCCACCAGTTGCGCTCGGGCGATCCTTCCACTACCACACCCGGCTAATTTTTTCTTGATTTATTGTAGAGACGAGGTCTTGCCAAATTGCCCAGGCTGGTCTTGAGCCCCTGGGCTCAGGCAATCCTCTCACCTCGGCCTCCCAAAATGCTGAGATTACACGCTTGAGCCACCATGCCTGGCCAAAAAACACCATTTTACTGGCTTGAAGAACTAAGTTAGAGTTCAGGGCAACCACAGTAGTATCATCTAAGAAGACTTGTATTAGACTGGGGGAAGTTTACCACTCTTTGTTTTCCACTTTGAGGCTTTGGATCAATTCCTAGACTTAGGTAAGTCCTATTCCATATCCTGTTATGCCTGCTAACCTCATCCCCTACTCTACTGGAATATCAATAATTTATCTTTTAAAATTTTTATGTTAATTCAATATTATTAGTTTTTTAAAGACAGGGGTCTCGCTCTGTTGTTCAGGCTAGATGCCGTGGTGCAATCATAGCTCACTGCAGCCTCGAACTCCTAGGCTCAAGAGATCCTCTTGCCTCAGCCTCCTGAGCAGCTGGAACTATAGGTCCACACTATATATGGCCTAAATATCAAAAATTTGAAGATGCAGAATGTTCAGAAGATGTCTAGGAGATAATAAATTTTATAAAACTCTTCTCACATTGGTCAGTGTGAATGGATAGTTATGTAATAAAATGCAAAATTTTGAGGGAGAGAAAAATTCTTTTTTTTTTTTTTTTGAGTTGGAATCTCACTCTGTCGCTCAGACTGGAGTGCAGTGGCCGCTCCTGGCCACCGCAGTCTCCACCTGCTAGGCTCCGGCGATCCTTCCACTTCAGTCTTCCAAGTAGCTGGAACTACAGGCGCCCGCTACCACGCCCAGCTCATTTTGATTTATTGTAGAGACGAGGTCTTGCCAAATTGCCCAGGCTGGTCTTGAGCCCCTGGGCTCAGGCAATCCACTCACCTCAGCCTCCCAAAGGCACGGGATTACAGGCTGAGCCACCGAGCCAGCTTAATCTTTTGATTTATTGTAGAGATGTCTCGCCTGCCCAGGTGGGTCTTCAACCCGCAGGCTCAGGCAATCCACTCACCTCAGCCTCCCAAAGGCACGGGATTACAGGGTGAGAGCCCGGCTAAAATTCTTAAATCGTTCACATAAATTATTGAGTTCACTGTGAGCTACTTTACCAACAAACCCTAGGGGTAGTGCATGGCGAAGTTTGAGAACTTTTTGAGAAAACTATTCTATGGCATAGTTAGATCCCAGAAAAATTGAAGTTACCCTTCTTCAACTCTTCAGGAAGGCTGTTGAAGCATATGGAGAAACACTAGAGAAAAGGCAGGTCACCCTGCCTGTTCCACAAGCCAGCAAAGAGAAACATCATAAGGGTCCCCCCTTTAATACCAAGAAAGGAGAGGGGAATCTAGCAGGACTTCTGGTCATATTGAAAATGGCAGGTCTGAATCTGCAGATTAGGAGCCAAATAGCAGGAGAGGTTTTCTGTGTGTGGGGGGGTTTCTGTTGGTTTCCTCTTTTGAAGACTGCCTGAACTATGTTTGCTATTTCTGTCTGTATGTAGGGTGAACACACTGTAGCCTCCAGCAAGAAAACCCTGGAAACAAAAGCACCAAGTAGAAGAAAGGAATAAGGAAGAGGACTGCTGTAAAAGCTGGTCTCCTCAGTCAACCACAAGCCTCAGAGGATTTAATGGATGGACCAGATTTGAAGGAGAAAAGTGAATTAGGCAGAAATCAAAGGTGGATGACCTTGGAGAAACCTTAGGAACCTAGCAGTTGGAAGACCTTGTGGTTCCCCAGCACAAAGCAAAACAGTCTCCAAACAGATTTCACACCTCTATTGAATAGTATAACTGCACAGGTAGAGAACATCTGATCTTTAAATTTAACTTCTGGAGTTTTCCAATAACTCGCTCATAGCTTTATGATGTCCCTAGTTTTCCTCCAAACACTACTTAGAAATGTAGACCAAGTTGCATCTGTCATCTCAACACAGTGCTTACCTTTCTTAAGAATTTTCTTGACTTTCACATAGTTCCCTTGTTTGATATACTCATGAAGCTGAGCTTCCAAGGAATCATTTCTTAAGGTACCAAGCTGAACAGGACAAGGGACTGGAAGATGAACAGGCCGAGACATCCTGTTTCAAAAGAGAGCAACATGCTTATTCTAACTGAACCAGAGATGCATGGAAGCAATTTAGATACTTTCACATTTGGAAACTGTCCACCTATCTTCATTTAATAATGATGATTAAAGGACCAATTACTGAAACTCTATGAGATTAATGTTTATCGTTTAATGTTATTACTGACATTAAAAAATTGAATATATTTGCCAGGCACGATGGCTCATGCCTGTAATCCCAGCACCTTGGGAGGCGGAGGCCAGAGGATTGCCTGAGCCCAGGGACTCGAGACCATCCTGGGCAACTTGGGGAGACCTCGTCTCCACAATAAATAAAAAAAATTAGCTGGGTGTGGTAGTGCATGCCTGTAGTTCCAGCTACTTGGAAGGCTGAGGCAGAAGGATCGCTGAGCCCAGCAGGTCAAGGCTGCAGTGGCCATGAGCATGCCACTGCACTCCAGCCTGGTGACAGAGTAAGACTCTGACTCAGAAAAAAAAATTGAATATATTTATTATTAATAACCAGGACTGAAACAGTGATGACTACCGGGAAGTAAAATTAGAAACATACACACTTTATTATATTATTAAGATAATGAAGAGGTACTTTGTTGTTTGCTTGTTGGGAGTCAAGGTTTCACTGTCACCCAGGCCAGAGTGCAGTTGCAGGATCATGGCTCATCACAGCCTCAAACTCCTGGGCTCAAGTGAACCTCCCACCTCAGCCTCCTGAGTAGTTGAGACCACAAGCGTGTGCCACCATGCTCGGTTCATTTTTCGATTTCTTGTAGAGTCAAGATCTCACTATGTTTCCTAGGCTGGTCTTGAACTCCTGGGCTCAAGTGATCCTCCTGCCTTGGCCTCCAAAAGTACTTGAATCTACAAGCATGAGCCACTGTGCTCGACTAATTTTTGATTCATTATAGAGACAAGGTCTTGCCAAGCCACCTCTGTGCAAGAGGGTGGCTATGTGCAAGCCAAAGAGAGGGGCTTCAGAACCCAACCTTGCTGGCACCCTGATCGTGCTTGAACTTCCAGTCTCCAAAACTGCGAGAAAATAAGTTTCTGTATTTAAATCACCCAGTCTGTGACATTTTGTTATGGCAGCTCCAGCAAACTAATACACTAATACCAGGAAGTTATGTCAGGTGAACAGACATATGGTTTAACTTTGTTTAATAAAGGATTTAAGCATGCATTGTGTTAATCATCTACATACTAATACCCGCTCAAGTATTTCTAATCTTACTTTCACAGTCACCTACAGTGATTATTAGGGGAAAAAAAAAGTTAAACTAGCAAATTCATCTGCACAAGAAAACAATGGGATCAGGGTCTCAGTTTTCTTTTCTTGTTGTTGTTTTGAGTTGGAGTCTCAGCCTGTGACCTGCTGGGCTCAGGGGATCCTTCCTCCTCAGACTTCCAAGTAGCTGGAATCATAGGCACATGCTACCACGCCTGGCTAATTTTTTGATTTATTGCAGGGATGAGGTCTCCCCAAGTTGCCCAGGCTGGTCTCCAATGTAATCCTCCCACCTTGGCCTTCCAAAGTGCTGAGATCACAGGCATGAGCCACTTTGCCAGGCCAAGTACTCGGCTTTCTACCCTGTATTATGTACTTACAAATGAATTGGGCAGCTTCAAACAATGTACAAGTAAATGTGTACCCAAATCACTATACTAATCAATCAAAGAAACCCACAAAGCAGACTGGCAACAGGAAGACCCACAGATGTTAACAATAAGGAAAAAAAAAAGAGCCGAACTCGGTGGCTCAGCCTGTAATCCCACGCCTTTGGGAGGCTGAGGTGAGTGGATTGCCT